TCAGCTGGTCCTTCATCCCTCACCCTTTGGAATCATGGCTAGAATCTGAACTCACCCAGTTCCCCTTGCTGTTCACTCACAAGCTCCACCTGTAACCACTACCCAGCCACGCCTTCAGCTCACCCTAAAATTGTCATTTTACATCAGGTGATTGGGCCGTTACCAAGAGCTTTCCAGGAAGCACAATTTTATTAAATTAGCTAAATTATACATGTGAAAAATGGCAGTGCAACAACCTGATGTTCAAAGTGTTTGTGCAAGAGGGACGGAATGGCTAACACTGATTTCATTACCTGTTACGTTTCTATTCTCTCCTTGTGCTCAAGCTGTATTTTGACCTTCATCCCAGAAGATGTTTCTCCTGATTTCTCCCTGCTATGAGATTCCACCTCTTGCCAGGTCACCCAAAACTTCCCTATTCAACCACCTCTACGTAATCTCAAGGCTCCAAAATTACAGGGTAGATAGAGGTTTCTGTTTCTCTTCCAAATGGAAAACTTTTGCCTCTTCTCAGGCTTATTGCAGCACCAACAACTGGCAGCTCATACTGGAGAGAAAAAGAAATGGAAAAAAGAAAGGAAAAAAAAAAAAAAAAAGGACTAAAGAGGGTTTATTCAGCAATTTTGTCATCTTCCTGCAATCTAACCCCAGAACGGTGATTACTCAGATGCATTAGCAGACATTCAGCATTTTCTGCTGCCCTTTCTTCCCCACAGCACTGTACAACTGCCAACCTGCCTGGCTGCTGCAGAGCTGAACGGGGAATAACAGAGGCATCACACTGGGAACGCTGCTGTGCTCCTGGCAAAGGCCATGCCTGGCTTTTCCCTCGATCCTCAGGGCAGCAGCACAAGTTAACCACTGGAAACACGGCACGTTACAGCTACACACAACCCAACACACAGGTGCAGGCAGAGGAGTTATTTCTTCAGAAGGAAAACCAAACCCAGGTTTAGGTAAACAGTGCTGCCACTAAACATCATGTCCCAGTGTCTCCTTGGAAAGGCCTGTGGGTCACAGTTTTGTTGCTTGGCTGGTTTTACAATTTATCAGCCCACAGAAGCTCCTCGAGAAGGTACCCAAAGGTCTTCAGAGACAGAAACCCAAGCCTGTATTCAGACTCCAGGAGCAATCAGTAAACCAACATCATAACCACAGAGGCAAAGGAAGAAAAATATGGCTTTGTCCTTTTAAAATAATCATTAACAACAGAGCAAAGCAGATATTTGCAGGATCTTGCAGCAGCCACTGCTAGGACTGGGAAACCATAGTACAGTATCTTCCACTATGAAAGTAACTGAAATTTATCACAGACATGGCAACAAAGTTATGGTGTTTATTTTTATATTTTCACAAGGGAAGCCACGAATTACGTGACAATTTCTGGAGGAAACTGACTTCATTCCTGGTACACCGTAAAGTTTGAGGTGGTTGCAGAAACTATGAATGGACCAGCTGGAAAACAGCCACTGAGTAGGATTTCCAAGCAGCAGTTCTGAATGACTTTACCATGTGGTACACACAAATAGGCCTAATTATTTCAGCTTCCAAAAACCAGTTATTTTTAAGAAATATGCCAGCTGTCTAGCTGTTCAAAGCACAGTTTGTTTCTCTAATCAATATGAAATACCCTGTCAATCACACTCTGAATTCTCTGCCTGTCATCAGAACCACTAAATGCATAATCACACAGTTACCACGCACCTTTGTAGCTCTCCTGGCAAACGTCTCTATTATCAGCTTGCACAATGAAAAAAATGCTCTTTTTTTGCTGCTTAGGATGATCTATTGCATTGATGATTCAGGCATTATCTGATTTTTTAAAAACAATCATAAATGCCATTTGTCACAGTACACCTTCCCACTCTTTATTTCTTCCCCAAGCAAGAAAATGTCTCACCCAGCTGTAATCAGAGACCACCTGGTACCTTCGAGACAAACAAGAACATTAATTTTGAATTCTCACCTAAACCCAGTGCCACAACACAAGCCCCGTGGGCAAAGCTCCCGTGCTCCTGCATTGACATGCATCAGGACTCGTGCATCCTCCCCTGCAAGGTTCAGACAATGCAAATTCCCAAACTTTTCTGCCCTAAACGATTTGCAAAGCCAAGTGCTTGGGCAGGGGACTCTCGGTGGGATTCACTGAGGCACAGCCTGGTTTTAACAGAATATGAAGAATGCCATGGTCTGTATGGTATTTCTTTCTGGGAAACTGCTCTATGAACCTTCAGTTGTCACCAGCCTTTACGTAGTTTTATGATCAACTGTTTCCAGTTCTCTTTCTGTATAATTTGTACCATACACTGTCCTGTATTTACATTCCCTGTTATGGAAAACATTTTGGAAAGCATTTCAAAGAGGAAAAAAAGAAAATGTGTATTTCATTGCAGTATTGATAAAATACTGTGCTTTATTTTAGTACAAGTCCAGTAAAATTACCATGACACTAAACCCCATGCAAGTAGAAATCTTGCATGAAATCTAAATTTAAAGTCTCCTCCCAGGTGTTTGACATTTCCTCCCTTTCTGTTGCGCAATTTAAGTTTTTTGTTTATGTGTATAATTTCCCACCCAAGCTAGAGTATTTTTAAATACACCCTTCTGAACAGGTTTGACCCAAACTACGCTCTCCAACATCTGTACAACTGAGGTTCTTTTTTAAGCAGATCCTTCCCCACTCAGGCTGCTGTCTAGCAGTGTTTGTACCACTCCAGCACCTGCCTCCTCCTTTTGGCAGAGGCACTTGAAGGCTCCACCCTCTTGGACAATTAAGGTACCACCACCTCCTTTGTAGCATCCATCATAAATCTAAATCATAAAGCATATGTTAGAGGGTGGCTTAACATTTAATTCCTACGCTCATTTGATTTAGGTTTGTGAGCAACACATATCTCACAGTGGTTTTTCACTTAATTAATTGCCAGTGTTTTTGTATTAGTCAAGAGATAAAACCTTGGGGAGATGAGAGAATGTGCAACTAGAACTGACCACAAGTCTGGACAAAAGCCATACTCAGGATGACATGAATCCACCATTCCTCTTTTGGGCAATAACGTGCAGATACACTTGTGATACAAAGCTTTTATACCTAAAAATATATAATTTTTTTTTTCTTTACATCTGCAATTTCAGCAGAAAAAGCATCAAAAAAAAATCCAACTTAAGTCTAGTTTCAAGGGTCCCCTAAGAGATTATGAAAATGAACAAAGACCTACATAAGAAACCTCACAGGACACTTCAGGTTTCATTCGTCTAAGGAGGTCATGATAAATACGTAAAACTACACCCCATTGTAAAACCACTGGAGGAAGCAAACTTCCTGAGGGACAGGCATCTTGCAAAACCTGAAGCATTGCTTTTGTCTGCCTTCGCTCCAAGATGCCCACTTTTCAAACTAAAAGAGAAAGCCCAAGAGACAAATGAAGGCTGTTCGAGAGAAAAGCAAGGTCGCGATCACGAAACTGAAACAATGCAACCAAAAGCCCGCAGCCCAACCTGAGCCCCGGCTCTGCCCAGGGACACAGGTACAGACACACCCGTTACACCAAAGCACTTTTACAGCCCTGGTGGTGTCAGACCTTCCTATGAGACCCTGCTGCTCCTCAGTGCTTCCTTTCCCCCAGAACAGGGAGCTTGTTTAGGATGTATTCAATCTTATAAAAAGTAATATTTTGGCACTACTGAGTTTACATAAAATATTGAAGAGACTACAATTAAAAGCCATTAGAGAGAGAAGCATCTGTGTTTTAACCACGTGCACTACTTGTAGTTACCTTTTTGAGAAGATTAAAATTAAGCAGCTTTTGCTTTTCATCCCACTCACACCCTCCCACTACAAATTCTGTCTGAGCTAATCCTCCTTCTACAGACGTCAAAACAGGGCATAAGTATTACAGCTACTTACTGCCAAAATGTGCTGGTTTAATATCCCATTACTATTGTAATACTGGCACAATAACTTATTATATGTGACAGCTTTAGCAGTTAGTCAAGGATAGAGCCACTTATTCAGTAGGTTTTTTTTCACCACATAAAACTGTATTTCTAAAATCTGTAAAATAGAAAATTTAATGTCTGAACTCAGACTGCGATGCCAGACAAAATAAAAGGCTTGTAAGGTCATTACACACGGTCTTCTCACCCTGTCATTTCCACTGTCAAAGAATTCATGTAAAGTGACCTGTCCAGAAATTCAGGTTACAGTATTTACAAATACACTTTGCAATATATATATTATATATTATAATAATAAATATATATGTATATAAATACACCTTTATTTCCTGGCATTTTAAAATATACTTTCACAGATCTTTGTTTAATTTTTATTTTCTAAGGGCCACATTCTGCATGAAGGCCAAGCCAATGTCCATGTCAGAACGCACTTCCAATGAAAAGATCAGGCTTGACAAAGCGCTCAGGGTTATTCTTCAGGAACCTGCAGCACAGAAATACACTAAGAAGTCTGTTCAAGGCCCTAAAAAATATTTAGGTTAAGCACGAGCAGGGCTGCCACGGGACACACTAAAGACAACAGGCACCGGAAAACAGGTGAACTCACTAAGTTACTCCAACTCCGGCCACAGCGTATCCAACAATAGGTGACAAAGTATCTGCACAGCAGCTCCGCAGCAGCCCCGGAGCCCCCGCCAGCCGAGGGGGGGACACGAGCGGGGCTGTCAGCGCGGGGTGCCGAGCGCCGTCCCCTCCACCCGCACACACCGAGCCCAGCCCGCGGGCACCGGGAGCTGCTGCCGGCCCTGCCCCGGGGCCCCGCCTGCCGCCGGGAGCAGCTCCCGCCCGTCGGGAGCAGTTCGCACCGCCCGAGCCCCCCGGTCCGCCCGCCGCGGGGCCGCACCCCCCCTGTGCCCGGGGAGTATCGCGGGCACCGCCGGCTCCGCGCCGGACACCGGCGCCAGCGCTAACCCCGGCGGCGCGCCCAGGGCGCCGTCCCACCTGCCCGGGTTGCGGCCCCCCCCGTACCTGCCCCGCCGCGCTCGGCGCCTCCTCCCGGGGCCGGAGCCGGAGCCGGGCCCGCAGCCGGTGGCGGTGCCGTGGCCGGAGCTGAAGCCGCCACCGCCTCGCCACGGCCGCGGCTCCGCGCCCGGCCCGCCCCAGCACCGCCCCCGAGCGGCCACGGCGCCCGCCCGCGCCCCCTGCCGGACACCGCCCGCGGAGCGCCGGGACCGCCCCGAGCGGGACGGGACGGGACGGGACGGGTCCCACAGCCAGGCGCGGGTCCCACAGCAGCCGCTGCCGCCCGGGGCACACGCGGTTCCAGCCCTCGGAGGCCGGCTGATTTCACGGCCACAGCTGCGGAGAGCAGCGAGAGGCTCCGGGGCCAACAGCCTGGCACCTGGTCCGAGTTGCCCGCTCCCCGCTGCTTCAGCTCCCAGCGTTGGAGTGGATGGCCGTCGGCTCCCCGGAGATGCGGCACAAGCATCTCCCGCAGCTGAGCGAGGTTGTTACTGCTGGTGCCTCTGCTGGCACGTTCTTCTCATACTTAACTCACCGGGAGCAGGACCCTTTGGAATGCCGCGAATTTCGATACAAAGATAGAACAAGCATATTCTCTTGTACAGCTGGTATGAGTGAGTTCATTCTATAACTTGTGCAGTACTCGGCAAGACTTGTGCCCAATAAAGCAGCTCCGAGCTAACCAGCCTGTCCCCTCATAGGAAGTAATTTTGCTTCACCAGCAGGAGGGCTTGTTCAATCCTACAAACTGATCAAATTGAAATTATTTGTAATACAAATTGAAATACACCAATTTTTCATGTATCTCTAAACCAGATTCTGAAATCTGCAGATTTGGGCAATGCCCTAATTCCCTTTACACACCTACCCAGACATGTTGGTGCAGAATCCATGCGAATGCTGGGTGATCAAAGGAGATGCACTGACACTGAACATTTGGCATCAGTGCCTATGGCAAACAGCTGTCGGGTGTTTTGTCACAGCCAGGAGGCACCTCAAAGAGTGTATGTGGTTCCCATACTCCTGTGGTTCCACTTGCAATCCTGGATACTCCTGCAGCTCCCAACTGTGCTGTCACACTCCTCTGCCAGACAAGCAGACGCTTTATCTCTCTGGCCTCTACTCTCGGGTCAGGGTGACCGGTGGTCAATGCCCCACAAATTGCAGCATGGAGCCACTTACTGGGCACATTTTTCTGGCTAAATTCATACTTTTGCCTGACTGGTATGATTTCACCTGGAAACACGCTGAGGTTCTCCATCCTTCTGTTTGGGATGACAAGTAGGAGTTAATCTAGTTGTATCCAACAGACTGCACAGTGGTGTGAAAAGTGGTTGTCCAGCTGCAGGCCAGAAGACTGGAGCCTTTACCAACTGCTGCTCTCTAAAAACCATCCCCAGAGCTGCTGAGCAGCAGGGTGGTTGGCCTGCCAACCGACTGCTGCACATCAAACGCAGGCGCAGCTGTTCCTCCCTGCTACCAGCATCACATCAGATTACAGCTAATTGATCATAACGATTTTCTTATTTTTTTTTATAAGACCAGTGCCAACCATCTGAAAAGGAATGACGTGCAGAAGAGTAGAAGACAAACTATGGGCCCCTGGATGTGGACAGTGAGGGTTCTGACTGTCACTCAGCAGATCCTTTAGGGCATGTTAGGATTGCATAATGCCCAACAATAGCACAAAGAAATGTGCTTTCCCTACTCAAAAAGCAGAAGATACACTGCAGAAAAATCGTCTCCATATGGGAACAGTGATTTACCATGATGACAAATGCTTGCCAGGGCAGTCACATTTCTACCTCCCTCTAGAGCAGAGCACAGTTCAAAAGGGATTTGGGATTCAGAAACTGTCAATCTGTTCTCCGTGGAATAACAGGATTTAATTTTCTTCAGAGGATGTTTTTGCTTTGGAGAATAAAATACGCTTGTCTATATACACAAAAGAAATCAACTTTCTTAGAGATAGTCATTATGATTATTTATAAAACAATTTACTGTGTACTAAAAAGTTGTTAATATCCTGAAAATTCCTCTGCAGAAACCACATACACTTGGATTTTAAAGATTAAATTAGAAGAGACAAAGTGAATACTCACAGGATAGAGCAACTGCAGCTACTGTCCTTGGAGCAGACTCTGAGTTATGCACAGCCCCACCATATCACCTGACTTGATATTATCAATTGGATCTACTTGCTGCTACACACAACATTATGCACCCAGTGATAGTGCAAATACCATTTCATAAAATCAAGATTTGCTCATCTGGCAAATACTGTAAGGATGTCCTTAAAGTAGAGTGAATTAGCTATGAAGTAACAAAAGTTTTGTTGCATTAACAAAATGGTAGCCATAAGCATATCTGGGGCTAAAACAGTTTGTTTGGTAGCATCAACCAACAGCTGCTGAGACAATCCACTATCAGATGTGGTCAAAACATTGTGGTGCTCCTCTGGCTGACCTCAATCCCAAGAGGTAAACTGACAACCTGAATTAGAGAGGATAGGTCATGGTGAAATGCAGCCCCACCTGCCAGGGAGGACAGTTTTAATTTTAGGTTTTACTTACATTTCCAAGCTCCTGGTCCCAATCTTGTTGTTGTTTTGGGAAGCTTGTATATTCCAACTGTTAGCTGGGGGCTTTTTCTCCCTCTCCTTCATTTCTAGTTACTGAGGCGTGGCAACTACACATCCTTCTGTTTGCCGGTTTTTGAATAGGAGACTTTGGGGAGGCTACATGTTGGTTCATAGCTGTCCTGCAGACAAATTCTAACACACATAGCATGCAATCAGTTACGTTTCACAGCATAAAATAATTCAATTTTCTGAATTCAGTCCAACAGCTAATACTTCTGCAAGAAATGAGAGTCAGGAAGTAAGCCCAAAGACTTTACCCAAAATATCAGCTAGATCCCAGCTACTGCCCAAAAGCCATGACAGCAATGGAGGAGTACATAAGCTCTAGAGAGCGGGAAGAAAGAGAGGCAAATCACTGCTCAACAGACAAGTTTACAGTCAGTTTTGCACATAAAGAGAGGTTTGGAGCACTTCTAAGCTATTGTATGCTTGAACTGTGTGAGAGTATTTTATAAGAAGTATATTTGTATACAGTGTTTCACTTCTAGGGTTATTTCTTCACTGACAGTTTCAGACTTTCTAAGTCTGTGGGTGGGGATTTTTCTTCTGTTAAGAACAGAAGAGTTTCAGTGGTCTGAAGCATTTTTTCAGTTCCACTGTTTGACTTGGGCTGGATTTCTCAGCTACATGCCTGAATGCTTCAGAGAGTCCTCATCCCCATCTAGTAAAAGGTGGCTTCTGACAATACCTCATTCTTAACAAGCACTGTTTTCAGTGACTTTGTGTCTCAGTGCTACTGCTTTTAAACACATTAAAGAAACAGATAATTCTGGAAAGAAACCCCTTAGGAAGCAGTTACTTCTGCCTTCCTTTTGCCACCACACACCTGAGGTCCGATGTCACCTCTCTCAGTGGCTTTGTGCACGTTCCTGCATTACTCTGGGTGTCATGTGGCGTATCTATCCAATGCCTTACAAAGTTACTCCTGGTTTTGTAGCTTTTAAAGCCTTATATGTATGATGACTCATATATATGACAATATCTTTGCCCATTAAATTACCTCACTCTAAGTCTCGCTGGATCTTTTGGAATCTTTTGGTAATGTTGTAACTGTTGGTCTGCATATGGTGCCACAGCCACTCGCCCAGATTTCTGTAACTCTTCTATTGCATTACAGCAGCTTCTGCTCTCCTCAGAGGCTGTCTATGATCTCATTCATCAGCATTTCTACATATATGGCTTTACAGCATTTAAATTATCTCTGCAGGGAGTCAGTCAATCCAGCCCTCAAAGATGCCATTTTGCAGTGTATCACGATCGTGGTAAATGCTATGTTTTCATCGCTTGCTATCAGGCTTAACTTCCTGATAATATCATCGCACTCAGCCTCATCAGTTTCAGCAGCAATCAAGCAATCAGTAATTAAAGTACATACTAGGAATATTACCACATATCTCGCTATTTTACTCTACTCTTTCAAGGGTTGATTAAATCCCAACTAATAATTACAAATTCTACATTGTTTGTGGGTGAAAAAAACCCACAGAAGAATATGCCTTATCTGGCTGTACTTGCCAGCGTTCCCTTTCCTTCTGGATAACATCATAGAAAACCCCATTTATTTTTCAGAGTGAACAGGAGTATATAGTTTATATACTTATATACTATAAGACTGCTGTTTGCTCATGACTCTGTGTCCTCGAGCATATAATAGCTCTTCATTTGGAAAACCACATATTTAGTTGCAGAATTTAAAAAATAAATTAGGACCTCTGAACAAATATAACTTGGACAGTTGGCTTGGCCCATTACTTCTTCCTCCTTTTTTTTTTTTTTTTCCAAGTCCCACTGTCACGAAGCTGGATGTGTACCAGTCACTGGATTAAAACACAGGCCTCTGATCCCAGCAGGTCTGTTTTATCCCAGCAGGAGCCAACGTGGCCGCAAGAGAATTGCCAGTGCATGTAAAGATAACAAAGACCAGTTAAGCTGTTCAACAGCAATGCAGTCAGCCACCAGAGAGGCAGTTTTAGCACCCATGGAACAGGTCTCACCACACGGCAGTTCTGCCCATCGCATTCCAGTCGTGCTTTTTCTAAATGTGCAGAGTGACATATTTTGAAGAAAAGAGCTTGTTTTCACTTCATTATGGAGAAAGCAGCAGAAACCACAAACTTCAGTTTGGGGCTGAAGTTTCTGAAAGAGGAAGTGTGTGTGGGGGACCACGCTCTTGGAGGAATGTGTGCAATGTGTCTTATAAAGCCAACATCCCTATCACACATTCTTGATTTCTCCTGAGCAGAAAATCAAACGCTGTTTCCCGCTTCGCAAAGGTTCAGATGTAGTCTTGGTAGCCAAATTTCTCCAGCATGACTTGCTAGCTTGAGACACAGTATGGGAACCCCAGCTCTCATTTCGCTCAGTGCCTTGGGAGAGAAAGCTTAAGTGGCTTCTCTATTTTGGCATAATGCATTATGACACACCATACTTCAGCTTTGATCAAAGGGCTCCTGCTCA